CCTCAGCCTCCCAAAGGCGCGGGATTACAGGCTGAGCCACCGAGCCCGGCTCCCTCTGCTTTTTTTAAAGACAGAGTCTCACTCTGTTCCCCGGTCTGAAGTGCAGTGGTCCAGTCTTGGCCCACCACAACCTCAACCTGCACTTGAGTGATCTCCCATTTTAACTTCTCAAATAGCTGGAACTACAGGCGCATGTCACCATACCTGGCAAATGTTTTGATTTTCATGGAGATGAGGTCTCACTGTGTTGCTTAGATTGGTCTTGAACTCCTGCCTCAAGTGATTCTCCCACCTTGGCCTCCCAAAGTGCTGGGATTACAGGCATGAGTCATTATACTCAGACTCTTTATTTGTCTAATGGTTCCTCATGATGAGATTTAGGTTTGCATCCTTGGCCATAGTACTACATATTAGTAATTTTGTCATCTTCTCTGAGTATCATACCTAGTGACCCATAATGGCCATCTGCCCCTCAGTTTTCATCTCTCAGCCAAGATGCCTGATTTTTCAACTGTATAGTTACTGTTACTTCTCTTACAATTATATAAGTGGCAAGTACTTTAGGATCATGCATACATTCTTGTTTTCCATCAGTATTTCCCCCTAGATTTGTCATCTGTTGATTTTTGCCTCAGTCATTTTTTACAACAGTTGTTGCAAAGTAATGATTTTCCAACACTACCACTTACCGTTTTACTATAAGTAAGGTACCTTCTTTTTTCTCTTTTATTTACTTGTCCCTCTTTTTTTTTTTTGAGTCACCATCTCATTTTGTCACCCAGGCTGGAGTGCAATGCCCTGATCACGGCTCACTGTAGTCTTGACCTCAAGCAATCCTCCCTACTCAGCTCCTGGGTAACTGAGACTGTAGGCGTGCGTCACCCTGCATGTCTACTTTTTTATTTTTGTAGCGACAAAATTTCACTGTGTTGTCTAGCCTGATCTTAAACTCCTGGGCTCAAGCAGTCCTCCCACCTTGGCTTCCCAAAGTGCTGGGGTTACAGTTGAGTCATTGTGCTTGGCCTTACTTGTCTTTTCATTATTGGTGTGAATGCATGTGATCTCATATATATATATATTTTGTTTGTTTGTTTGTTTTGTTTTGTTTTGTTTGTGTTTTTTTATTTTTTGTTAATTTTTTTTCGAGTTGGAGTCTCACTCCATCACCCAGGCTGGAGTGCAGTGGCATGCTCACAGCACCCCAGCATCAGACCTGCTAGGCTCAGGCGATTCTTCTGCCTCAGCCTTCCAAGTAGCCAGAACTACAGGTGTGTGCTACCACACCCAGCTAATTTTTTGATTTTGTTGTAGGGATGATGTCTCACCAAGTTGCCCAAGCTGGACTCAAAGCCCTGGACTCAGGCAATCTTCTCACCTCGGCCTCCATAGTGCTGGGTTTACAGGCTTGAGCCACCGCTCCCAGCCTCTTTTTAATTTTTAAAGAGAGGGGCTCTGCTGCCCAGGCTAGAGTGTAGTAGCATGATCATAACTCGCTGTAGCTTTAATTTCTGGATTCGTGATCTTCTCACCTCAGCCTCCTAAATAGCTGTGACTACAGGTGAACTGCACCTGGCTAATTTTTAAATTTTTTGTAGAGATGGAGTCTTGATGTGTTGCCCAAACTTGGTCTCAAACTCCTGACAGCAAGTGATTTTCTTGCCATAGAGCCTTTCAAAGTTTTGGGATTACAGGTGTGAGCCACCATGCCTAGCATTATATTTTCAATAGTTTATCATTCATTACTATTTGGGTGCTTGAGTTAACCCAGATTTGGTCCATGGGACTTTCATGTATGTCCCTATCATTTTGAGGGAGTACTTCCTTATTTTCTAGCTTACCAAGATATCCAGACTTATTGTACACCTATCCTGCCTAATCCTAGAGTCAGCAGTTTCTCTGACAAGCCTTAGTTCCCCTCAGTGGGAGATGGTACTGGAGACCAAAATAGGGCACTAGGTGTGCCTAGATATATGCACTAGTCACTTGTCTTTGCTTCGAGGCCCTTTAAATAGTCAGAAGCAAGAAATATGTCTATATTTATAAACGCATAAATAGGCATGGACATATGGTATAGACATATTATCAGAGTTTTCTCAGTCTTGGCATTATTGATATTTTGGGTTGATTGATTTTTTTTGTACACCACTGTTGTTTAGCAGTGTCACTGGTCTCTATCCACTAGATGCCTCAACATAAAAACATCTCCAGCATTGCCATTGTACCCAGTTGAAACCACTATGTATATATGTGTTTGTATTTTTTTTTTGAGTTGAGGTCTCACTCTGTTGCCCATGCTGGAGTGCAGTGGCACGCTCATGACCACCACAACTCAACCTACTGGGCTTATGTGATCCTTCCAAGTAGCTGGGATTACAGACATACACCACCACACCTGGCTGATTTTTAAAAATTATTTGTAGAGACGAGGTCTCTCCACGTTACCCAGACAGGTCTCAAACTCCTGGGTTCAGGCAGTTCTCTCACCTCAGCCTCCCAAAGTGCTGGGATGGCAGGCATGAGCCATTGCACTTGGCCTGAAACCACTATATACATACATGTACCTATAGTTATTTTGGAAACTACTAGCTACAGTGATGCTTCTGATTTCAGTCTACCCTACAAGATTCTTTCTTGTCTTCTCCCATACCATATTTATATCTCTCCTTCTATAATGATAATTCTGACTCCCAATAATATTAGTCCATTGACTCATCTGCTCAATTCTATAATACAGACTGAGCATCCCAAATCCAAAATCTGAAATGCTCCAAAATGTGAAACTTTGCGATTGCCCACATGATGCCAGAATTGGAAGATTTTATACCTTATCTCATGTGATAAGTTGCATATGTTATTTAAAATACTAGATAAAACAGGTGGGACACAGTGGCTCATGCCTGTAATCCTAGCATTTTGAGTGGCTAAGGCAGGAGGATCACTTGAGACCAGTAGTTTGGGATCAGCCTGGGCAACACGGCAAGACCCTGTCTCTACAAAACAAAGGAAAACAAAACCAAATTAGCCATGTGTGGTAGCGTGCCTATAGTCCTAGCTACTTGTGTGACTGAGGCAGGGGGGAATCACTTGAGCCTAGGAGTTCAAGGTTACAGTGAGCTGTGATCACCCCACTGTACTCCAGTGTGGATAACAAAGCAAGACCCTATCTCTTAAAAAAAAATTTTTTTTTAAAGTTTTCAAACAAAGTTTATTAGCAAGAAAAGAAAGATGAAGAAGAAAGATTCACATCAGAAAGACCTGCCATGGGCAAGTTTTTCAAAGAAGAAAAACCACCCCAAATTTTTTTTTCCTGGCTGGTCTCAGTGACTCATGCTTGTAATCCCAGCACTTTGGGAGGCTGAGGCAAGAGAATTGCTTGAGCCCAAGAGTTGGAGATTAGTTTAAGCAACATAGAGAGACCTCATCTCTACAAACAATCCAAAACTTTACCAGGCATGGTGGTGTACACCTGTAATCTCAGATACTCACGGTTATAAATCATTATTTTAATCACCAAGAGTTAGACTGCAAAGAAAATCTCAAATTCCAAAAAACAGAAATCACATAGACCACATTCACTATCCATAATGCAATAAAAATAAAAATTAATAGCAGAGGAAGAGGTAAGAGAAA